TGTGAGGATATTACTCTCTGACATATGTGTAAAAGGCTTGAAATGTTCTCTTCTTGGAAATGAGAGAAAAGCAGAATCTGAGCCTTTTGGTCAGTTACACCCCTTCCTCTACACCCACTACCGATTTCATCACAACTTCCTCGAACAGCGATGACAAACAAGATTCAGCAACCTTTTGAAAATAAATCAAGTTCAAATGAACTTCAACCTTTTTTTATCTGAATGACTCCTTTCAAAACCATGAAGTCAGACAAATGGATCAAATTCAGTGGAGTCTTTCACCTGTCTTTGACCCTTCAGACCTTCAGACCTTCCTCTTTCAGTTGGGAGGGTTCAGGTAGGACATGGGCTGATGGGGTGCAACAGCTGGCTCTGGTCTGCTTCTGGGTCGCTGCACTGCAAAGGCCCCAATCGGCCGGCTGAATCGGTTTGAGTTGGTCTGAGGGTTTAAGGGCTCACTAGGCATCAGAACCAGAATGCTTTTTATGATCATTATACAGCACTACAACAGAATTACAGCCGACTCCAAACAGTGCAGAAATATTTAAATGAAAATTAGCAAAAACAATTATATATACAGTGGGAACATTATGAGATAAGGTGCACAGGCCTGAGTGTATGTACAGTCATAAATAAATAAATGTATGGACATAAATGTTGCACATTGTGGGGTAAAAACTTTAAATAATCCACATTGTAGGATAAAAACTGTAAATATTGCATATTGTAGGGTAAAAACTGTAAATACTGGCTGACCAGTGGAATTCTGTCCTCCTGGCAGAGTTGTGCGGCGCCCCCCCCCCCAGAGGTCCTGGTCTGCAGTGAAGCTGAAGGCGGCGCCATCCGGGTCACCTGCTCCTTCCCCTCGGCCGATCTCTTTTCGCTGTTCTTCTGCAGAGGCCAGTGCAGGAAGGAGGACGTCCTGCTGGAGGCCGGTGGGCCCTCGGCTCAGAGGGGCCGGTTCGGGATCCAGTACGAGAGCAGGGGGGTGTTTCACGTCACCGTGTCCAACCTGACGGTGTCCGACGCGGACCTGTACAGATGTGGGGTGGACATCACGTCGGCGCCGAACCCCTGTAGTGCAGTGGAGATCCGAGTCACCGAAGGTGAGTCCCCATCCAGGGCGGTCTGGACCAGCAGGGCTCAGAAGGGGGCAGGCATCCCCCTCTGAGCAGCAGAGGTTCCCAGACATTCTATTCTGGGCTGGACCCCTTTGGCTTCCAATGACTTTCATCACTGAGCTGATCCTCTGTGTCCTTTCACGTGTCATGAATGTGCTGAGAGGGTTTTAACTATCAATCATAGTTGAAACCAAGTCCATAGCCGAGGGAAGTATCGGACTTTAGTGACTGGAGTCTCTAACGGCCAAGTGTACAAGTGTCTGAGTCTCCAAAGGCTCTAAGGGCCCCAGTCTCGAAAGGCCAGAGTCTAGATTGCAGAGCATACAAGAGCCAGAGTCTCTAAGGGCCCGAGTCTCTAAGGGCCCTACTGACACCAGACACACGAGACGAAAACATGACAAAGAACAGTACCAAAAACCCAGGAGTGAGAAAGAAGTAGATGGGTCGGGGGAGTTCCCCCTGAAGGTCTAAGTACCAGAAGTACTGCTGCTTGGTCATTAAAGCTGAGAATGCAGCTTTCCTGGGTGGGGTCTGCATGCTTCAGCCCCACTCGGCTGTAGGCCTCTGCAGCTGATTGTTCTGCTGCTTTCTGACTGTCCACAGAAACACCAGAGCTGAACTCGCTGGAGTTTGTGGTGGCTGACAAAGCAGCAAAGAACTGCGTACTGTCCTCCGCTTTTGAGCCGACCGAGCAGAACCCGGAAGAGGACCCGTCTAAAGGTAGCGGCTCATAACCAGCAGCTTCTCTAAGTCTGGTGTTTGGCCAAAGCTCTGAAGCTGCCCGCCTGGGTCTCTGTCTGAGCCCATGGGTCCAGTAGGGAAACCCAGACAACCCAGACTCTTCTGTAGTCTCCTGATCTCTCATGGAGTCTTCTAGGTCCCCTGGACTCTCCTAGATTGTCCTGGATTATTTTGGACTGTCCTGGCCTTCTTTGAGTCTCCTGGACTCTCATGGAGTCTCTTAGAGTCTACTGGACTGTCCCGGAACTTCCTAGAGTCTCCTGGACTCCCCTTTAGTTTCCTAGACTCTCCAGGACTCT